CTGAGAACTAGAACAAACAGTTTGGTCCTGTTCTGAGGACTGGAATAAGCAGTTAGGACCTGTTCTGAGGACTGGAACAAACAGTTCGGTCCTGTTCTGAGGACTGGAACAAACAGTTCGGTCCTGTTCTGAGAACTAGAACAAACAGTTCGGTCCTGTTCTGAGAACTAGAACAAACAGTTCGGTCCTGTTCTGAGAACTAGAACAAACAGTTTGGTCCTGTTCTGAGAACTAGAACAAACAGTTTGGTCCTGTTCTGAGGACTGGAATAAGCAGTTAGGACCTGTTCTGAGAACTAGAACAAACAGTTTGGTCCTGTTCTGAGGACTGGAACAAACAGTTTGGTCAAACAGTTCGGTCCTGTTCTGAGAACTAGAACAAACAGTTTGGTCCTGTTCTGAGAACTAGAACAAACAGTTTGGTCCTGTTCTGAGGACTGGAACAAGCAGTTAGGACCTGTTCTGAGGACTGGAACAAGCAGTTAGGACCTGTTCTGAGGACTGGAACAAACACTTCTGTCCTGTTCTAAGGACTAGAATAATAACAAACATACATGTCATCTGACAATAAGAACTTATCTTTGGTCAATAAATCTAGGTGTTAGGTTTGAAAAGTAATTGTATGTTCCAGGATAGTTACAGATGTTGTTTCTTACTATTTTCAGAAAAAAGTGTGTGACTTTGGAAAAGTGACAGGAACCTTCCACTTGAGGCAGAAAAAGGTGAGTTTTGAACCTAATTAATTTTTGGAATTAATCGTTGGTTAATAGAAAACAATTGTCCAGGTCTCTCAACACTACTTGTCAATGGAACTTCATACTTGGGATATGTGTTCACATTGGTGACTGTTTTTGATTGGACAGTTAAGATATGTTATTACTATGTAAATTGATATCAAAGGTAATTATATATAATATACAAATACGTATGAATACAGACAGACATAAAAAGTCTGGGAGAAGGGGTTAATGGTTACATCTATATGTGACCAACTCATTTAATATTTATTTATATGAAAAGTGATATCAAAAGTCAAAGGTCACCACATTCCTAAGCCATTTTTCTTTTATTACTCAATAACAATTTTTCATCGTCATGTCTTCTAACAGTCTTCAGTTATGACTTTAACACCTGATAGTAAAAATTTACCTATAAATCACTTGTGTCTATCCCTATCAGTAATATCAAATATCAGCAGGTTATACTCTCAGTTATAAATGTCCTGAGGTTGTATATATGGGTTTATAACATTTACACCTAAATTTACTGAAAAATGATTCGTAGATTCATCCTTTCCCCTACATCAGTCCCAACATTGCCTCTGATGTTATTTTACTTCCCCAATTCTCACGAGTACAATTACTGAAATACCAGATTTGTTGTTCATTACAAACACTATTACTATTATACAAGGCTACCACAATGTACTCTGTGAGAGATTGTGAAATGTACCTTATCAAATCTATATCAACATTATTATGTCACTCAAACTTACAGATATATACATTATTTACACATTTTATGAGAATTTTTTATTTTGATAGCTACAAATTTATTTCACAAATATCATTGTTTTTTTTTTCAGGTTTTCATATCATGGCAACACCCATCAGTCAATCCGCTTTCCGTCCTAAAGGCCAGTCCACCTGTAGTGACCACAAAGGGAGGCGCTTGGATCTTTACTGTGAGAAATGTGATCAACTCATCTGCCATACATGTTTGTCAACAACTCACAGAAGTCACCCTGTTTGTGAACTCAGTGCAATTACTCCTCAAAAGAAACAAGAAATTACAAACTTTATCAACAAAACAGAACAAAATGACCTGGTAGAAGTCAGGGAATATATAACTTCTGCTGATTCATTACTCAAAGACAATACCAGTCATTTTGAGAAACTTTCACAGCAACTAAAAAATCAAACAGATCAACTAAAACATGAACTTGATCTATTTACAGCACAGACACTCTCAGTGTATAAACAGATGGAAGAGGACAACACCAGGATGATACAGAAATACAAACAAGAACTGGAGATGTACAACAGACAGCTGAAACAACAACTACAGGAATGTAAGGTGACTCTACAACGTGGTTCTCACCTGGACATCTATGACACAGATATACATTCCTCATTACATCTCCCTGTCAAACCTGTCCTGGGTACGGTCATCTTCACACCTAACACAAATCCACAACATCATCTACAACAGGCCGTAGGGACGATTATCACCTCAGGTCAAACAACTGACCAGGATCGGTCAGTCTCAGTATCACATGACCAGGGACAATCCTCTAAACAACAACAAACAGGAGTAAAAGGGAAGAAAGCAGTGATAAGTAAAGCACTACTGTCAGAGACCAAAGTGGTGAAGGAGTGGAAGTCTCCATGTGTCATTGGGTCTATATGTCCCACCACTGATGGTCAGGTGTGGACCAGTGATTACAGAGATACATTAACTCTCCTTAACAGGGAGGGTAAAGTAGTACAGAAGGTCACACACACGGCTGGCATCACTGACATCAGTCTATCACCCACAACACACACACTGTGGGTCTGTGACAGTAAAAACAACATCATGGAGCTGGTATCAGGACGACTTACAAACAAATTCAGAACCAAGGAGAGACCCCAGTGTATATGTGTTACAGCCAGTAACCATATCATTGTGGGGATGAAGAAACACATCTGTAAATTTACTACACAAGGTCAAATGGTACTCACTACAATGGCTGTAGGGACTGGGAAACCATTAGTGTATACACCATGGAGGATGTCAGAGTGTCCAGTAACTCACAATGTCACAGTGATTGATTTCAACGATGTGTGTGACGGTGGTGATGGAAACAGACGTGTTGTTGTCATGGATACTGACTTCCAGGAAGTGTTTGTATATAGAGGTGACATCCCCAGTACATATAAACAAACACCACAAACAGGACGTGTAACATTTTACCCCTGGGGTGTGGTGTATGACAGTGTGGGGAACCTCATCATAGGGGACTGTAACAACTGTAGTGTCCTACTCCTCAGTGGAGATGGTGAGTTCCTCAGGATCATATACACAGACAGAGTGTGGACAGAGGCTGTAGGTATAGACAGGGAGGATGTTCTGTGGGTAGTGTTTGGGGGTTACAATGTAAAACTACTACAGTACAGTGTGTAACAGTACTACTACAGTACAGTGTGTAACAGTACTACTACAGTACGGTGTGTAACAGTACTACTACAGTACAGTGTGTAACAGTACTACTGCAGTACAGTGTGTGACAATACTACTACACTACAGTGTATAACAGTACTACTACAGTACAGTGTGTAACAGTACTACTACAGTACAGTGTATAACAGTACTACTACAGTACAGTGTGTAACAGTACTACTACAGTACAGTGTGTGACAGTACTACTACAGTACAGTGTGTGACAGTACTACTACAGTACAGTGTGTGACAGTACTACTACAGTACAGTGTGTAACAGAACTAGACAGATATATGTTATTCTAGTGAGTTACCATGGTAACAAACTTTGTAAATAATATTTACATGTAACAAAAACAATACCGTTTAAATGAATGATGTTCGTCAGCAAAATGTATTGGTGTCACCACCCACATCGTTCCCTTTGTAAACTACATCTGTGTGTAAAATTAGTATAAAATTCACTTTAATGTGTTAAAACTTTGTCTTCCTTTTTTCTTTCTGATTGCAATGAAAATCAGTATAAAGTTATGTTGTGTATTTAGAGGTGACCAATGTCTTATAATGTACATGTATACTGTATCCTTATCTCTGTATAGTGTGTATTGTATATTTGTCATTTAATCAGCAATAAAATACTTTGAAATTATATTGGTTTTAATTTTTCTGTTGATGTTTTTCTGTTTATATATGTGTCAAAAAAACCCGGAATGTGATTTACCAGGATGTCAGAGTACTCCGGGCTCCTATTTAACAAAGTGTCAGAATACTTAGGGGTCTGACGATACAGAATGCTGGAATGCTCAAGTATTTACGCAAATTTGACGATCAAGAAGATGAGATCATCTGTCGGTCCGGTGTACATGCCCCATATTTTCAATGTGTGTCACAAATACCATTTCGGAGATTCGTTCTAAAAGCAAGGATACATAAAATTTGACAAAATCTCGCCGGTGATCGTTTTTCTGACTGGTTAGTCGTCAAATGTATTTTGGGATCTCATATAAAACCATTAAGATTTATATATTTTAAAAATCTATGTGTTGGATGTGAGATACCAGGTTGTTTGAGAATGTTATTACTTTATCATTACCTGTATTATATCGAGATTTTTTTTAGTAAATCTTGTTCCCCGATGTGACATATGATCAGAAGACCGCTAGATGTCTCTACAAGTTCCTGTGATTACCCGGTAACATACATTATCAGAATGCAGCTAGATGACTTCACCAGTCCCTGTGATTCACCGGTGTCACATATTACCATAATACAGCTAGATAATTTCACCAGTCCCTGTGATTCACCGGCGTCACATATTACCATAATACAGCTAGATGACTTCACCAGTCCCCGTGATTCCCCGGTGTTACATAGTACTAGTACACCAATAATTGATACGACAAATCACTCAAAATTCCCTGATGTGACACAATATCAGAATGCCAATAGTTTATACAAGTTCCCGTGGTTCCCTGGTGTCACGTATTAGTTAATACCGCTAGATATCTCTACACGTCCCTTAGATTTCCCGGTCTCATATATCGTTATACGGTTAGATGTCTCTACACGTCCCTGTGTTTCCCCGGTGTCATATATCGTTATACGTTAGATGTATCCACACGTCACTGTGTTTCCCCGGTGTCATATATCATTATACCGTTAGATGTATCCACACGTCCCTGTGTTTCCCCGGTGTCATATAACATACCGCTAGATGTATCCACACGTCCCTGCGTTTCCCCGGTGTCATATATCAGAATATCTTTAGATGTCATTAAAAGTCCCAGTGATTCCTGGTGTCTCATATCATAATACCGCTAAATGTCTCAACAAGTCCCTGTGATTTCCCGGCGTCACATATTATAATACAGCTAGATGTTTCCACACGTTCCTGTGATTCCCCAGTCTCAGATGTCTCCACACGTCCCCGTGATTCCCCGGTCTCACATATCAGAATACCGTTAGGTTTCTCCTCAAGTCCCAGTGATTCCCCAGTCTCACATATCATAATACCGTTAGATTTCTCCTCAAGTCCCTGTGATTCCACGGTGTCATTTATTATAATACCGTTTGATATCTCCACACATGTCTGTTACTCTTCCGGTCTCACATATCAGAATACACGCTAAATGTCTCCAAAAGTCCCTGTGATCCCCGGCTTCACATATCATAATACCGTTAGACTTCTCCTCAAGTCCCTGAGCTTCCCCGCTGTCATTTATTATAATACCATTAATTATCTCCACACGTCCCTTTGATTTCCCGGTCTCACATATCATAATACCGCTAGATGTCTCCACATATCGTAATATCGTTAAATGTCTCCACACGTCCATTTGATTCATCGGTGTCATTTATTATAATGCTAATATATATCTCCACACATCCCTTTCATTTCTCGTTTTCACATATCGTGATACAGCTAGATGTCTGCATACGTTACTGTGATCCTTCAGTCTCACATATCATCATACCGATAGATTACTCCACAAGTTAATAACCATCAGTGGTGACTTTATTGTGCAGTGACTATCAGTGGTGACACTATTGTGTAATTATCAGCAACGGTGACACTGTTGTATAGTAACCATCAGTGGTGACACTATTGTGTAGTAACCATTAGTGGTGACACCATTGTGTAGTAACCATCAGTAGTGACACTATTGTATAATAGCAATGAGTGGTGACACCATTGTGAAGCGACCGTCAGTGGTGACACTATTGTTTAGTAACCATCAGTGGTGACACTATTGTGTAGTAACCATCAGTGGTGACAGTATTGTACAGTAACCATCAGTGGTGACACTATTGTGTAGTAACCATCAGTGGTGACACTATTGTGTAGTAACCATCAGTGGTGACACTATTGTGTAGTAACCATCAGTGGTGATACTATTGTGTAGTAACCATCAGTGGTGACACTATTGTGTAGTAACCATCAGTGCTGTCATTATTGTGTAGTAACCATCAGTGGTGACACTATTGTACAGTAACCATCAGTGGTGACACTTTTACGTAGTAAACATCAGTGGTGACACTATTGTGTAGTAACCATTAGTGGTGACACTATTGTGTAGTAACCATCAGTGGTGACACTATTTTGTAGTAACCATCAGTGGTGACACTATTGTGTAGTAACCATCAGTGGTGACACTATTGTGTAGTTACCATCAGTGGTGACACTATTGTGTAGTAACCATCAGTGGTGACACTATTGTGTAGTAACCATCAGTGGTGACACTATTGTGTAGTAACCATCAGTGGTGACACTATTGTGTAGTAACCATCAGTGGTGACACTATTGTGTAGTAACCATCAGTGGTGACACTATTGTGTAGTAACCATCAGTGGTGACACTATTGTGTAGTAATCATCATTGGTGACACTATTGTTTAGTAACCATCATTGGTGACACTATTGTGTAGTAACCATCAGTGGTTACACTATTGTGTAGTAACCATCAGTGGTGACACTATTGTGTAGTAACCATCAGTGGTGACACTATTGTGTAGTTACCATCAGTGGTGACACTATTGTGTAGTAACCATCAGTGGTGACACTATTGTACAGTAACCATCAGTGGTGACACTATTGTGTAGTAACCATCAGTGGTGACACTATTGTGTAGTAACCATCAGTGGTGACACTATTATATAATAACTATCTGTGGTGACAATGTTGTGTAGTAACCCTCAGTGGTGACACTATTGTGTAGTAACCATCAGTGGTGACACTATTGTGTAGTAACCATCAGTGGTGACACTATTGTGGAGTAACCATCAGTGGTGACACTATTGTGTAGTAACCATCAGTGGTGACACTATTGTGTAGTAACCGTCAGTGGTGACACAATCGTGTAGTAACCATCAGTGGTGACACTATTGTGTAGTAACCATCGGTGGTGACACTATTGTGTAGTAACAGTCAGTGGTGACACTATTGTGTAGTAACCATCAGTGGTGACACTATTGTGTAGTAACCATCAGTGGTGACACTATTGTGTAGTAACCATTAGTGGTGACACTATTGTGTAGTAACCATCAGTGGTGACACTATTGTGTAGTAACCATCAGTGGTGACACTATTGTGTAGTAACCATCAGTGGTGACACTATTGTGTAGTAACCATCAGTGGTGACACTATTGTGTAGTAACAATCAGTGGTGACACTATTGTGTAGTAACCATCAGTGGTGACACTATTGTGTGGTAACCATCAGTGGTGACACTATTGTGTAGTAACTATCAGTGGTGACACTATTGTGTAGTAACCATCAGTGGTGACACTATTGTGTAGTAACCATCAGTGGTGACACTATTGTGTAGTAACCATCAGTGGTGACACTATTGTGTAGTAACCATCAGTGGTGACACTATTGTGTAGTAACCATCAGTGGTGACACTATTGTGTAGTAACCATCAGTGTGACACTATTGTGTAGTTACCATCAGTGGTGACACTATTGTGTACTAACCATCAGTGGTGACACTATTGTGTAGTAATCATCATTGGTGACGCTATTATTTAGTAACCGTCACTGGTGACACTATTGTGTAGTAACCATCAGTGGTGACACTATTGTGTAGTAACCATCAGTGGTGACACTATTGTGTAGTTACTATCTGTAGTGACACTATTGTGTAGTAACCATCAGTGGTGACACTATTGTGTAGTTACCATCAGTGGTGACACTATTGTGTAGTAACCATCAGTGGTGACACTATTGTGTAGTAACCATCAGTGGTGACACTATTGTGTAGTAACCATCAGTGGTGACACTATTGTGTAGTAACCATCAGTGGTGACACTATTGTGTAGTTACTATCTGTGGTGACACTATTGTGTATTAACCATCAGTGGTGACACTATTGTGTAGTTACTATCAGTGGTGACACTATTGTGTAGTGACCATCAGTGGTGACACTATTGCGTAGTTACTATCAGTGGTGACACTATTGTGTAGTTACTATCTGTAGTGACACTATTGTGTAGTAACCATCAGTGGTGACACTATTGTGTATTAACCATCAGTGGTGACACTATTGTGTAGTAACCATCAGTGGTGACACTATTGTGTAGTAACCATCAGTGGTGACACTATTGTGTAGTAACTATCAGTGGTGACACTATTGTGTAGTAACCATCAGTGGTGACACTATTGTGTAGTAACTATCAGTGGTGACACTATTGTGTAGTAACTATCAGTGGTGACACTATTGTGTAGTAACCATCAGTGGTAACACTATTGTGTAGTAACTATCTGTAGTGACACTATTGTGTAGTAACCATCAGTGGTGACACTATTGTGTAGTAACCATCAGTGGTGACACCGTTGTGTAGTGACAGTCAGTGATAACACTATTGTGTAGTTACCATCAGTGGTGACACTATTGTGTAGTAACCATCAATGGTGACATTATTGTGTTGCAGCCATCAGTGGTGACACTATTGTGTAGTTACAATCAGTGGTGACACTATTGTGTAGTAACCATCAGTGGTGACACTATTGTGTAGTAACCATCAGTGGTGACACTATTGTGTAGTAACCATCAGTGTTGACACTATTGTGTAGTAACCATCAGTGGTGACACTATTGTGTAGTAACCATCAGTGGTGACACTATTGTGTAGTAACCATCAGTGGTGACACTATTGTGTAGTAACCATCAGTGGTGACACTATTGTGTAGTAACCATCAGTGGTGACACTATTGTGTAGTTACCATCAGTGGTGACACTATTGTGTAGTAACTATCAGTGGTGACACTATTGTGTAGTAACCATCAGTGGTGACACTATTGTGTATCAGTGGTGAACCATCAGTGGTGACACTATTGTGTAGTAACCATCAGTGGTGACACTATTGTGTAGTAACTATCAGTGGTGACACTATTGTGTAGTAACCATCAGTGGTGACACTATTGTGTAGTAACCATCAGTGGTGACACCGTTGTGTAGTGACAGTCAGTGATAACACTATTGTGTAGTTACCATCAGTGGTGACACTATTGTGTAGTAACCATCAGTGGTGACACTATTGTGTAGTAACCATCAGTGGTGACACTATTGTGTAGTAACCATCAGTGGTGACACTATTGTGTAGTAACCATCAGTGGTGACACTATTGTGTAGTAACTATCAGTGGTGACACTATTGTGTAGTAACCATCAGTGGTGACACTATTGTGTAGTAACCATCAGTGGTGACACTATTGTGTAGTTACCATCAGTGGTGACACTATTGTGTAGTTACCATCAGTGGTGACACTATTGTGTAGTTACTATCTGCGGTGACACTATTGTGTAGTTAGTATCTGCGGTGACACTATTGTGTAGTTAGTATCTGCGGTGACACTATTGTGTAGAGCCATAAAGAACACTGAAAAACTGAATATTTTGATATTTTTATTTTGATTAGATTTACCTGGTTCAGGAATTTTCATATGACATCAATACATTAACCTTTCATCTGTGTAGACTTCGAATACATCACGATATATACACATTATACAGAACGTTCATCACTCACACAACTCACCCATCTTCTCCAGTAACACATTGATGTACTGTAATTATGACAAGTAACATAATTTTAAGAAACATCTGTACAAGAAAACAAGTTAGAAATTATAAAACCGAGACACAAAGTCATACTTCTGGCTAATTTCTAGTATAGTGCCACCTCAGCAATAGTTATGGGTAGAAATGAACCAGCATTCCATGAACCTACAAGTTAGTTTATGGTAGAAATGAACCAGTATTCCATGAACCTACAAGTTAGTTTCTGGTAGAAGTGAACCAGTATTCCATGAACCTGCAAGTTAGTTTCTGGTAGAAGTGAACCAGTATTCCATGAACCTACAAGATAGTGTATGGTAGAAAAGAACCAGTATTTCATGAACCTACAAGATAGTTTCTGGTAGAAATGAACCAGTATTCCATGAACTTACAATTTAGTTTCTGGTAGAAATGAATAAGTTTTTTCAGCAATCTACAAGATTAGTTTCTGGTAGAAATGAATCAGCTTTCCTATATATCTAGCTCATAAGTTGAAAACATACTTCACTACCTGTCTAACAATTTACTTCTCTCAATTAATTCCTTGATATGGAGTAATATTCTTATTAATGTTAAGAATTCTTCAATCTACAGAAAAACCTCTCCATTCTTCTCAGAAAATTGGTATGCCTGTCTTGTGGTAAACTAAGAAATATGACAAATATAACAAAGAACAGAACTCATGATTAAACATCATATACAATACTACAAACTTGAAACACCAGGATGGATGTGCTCTCATCTTCAAACCTTGAAAGTTATCTCCTGGAACAACTTCATGAACTACTCATC